TACCGACCGACCCGCCCCTGTTTCTCTCTATAAGCAAATTATTACATTGTATTTAGATCAGGCCTTCTCAACTGGCGGCCAGTAGGTTTGGCGCGCGCGGCTGTTGCAAAAAAAAATAATACAAAAAAATTAAAGGAAGAAAAAATTTAAAAATTATATTTTAAAATTAAAAAACTCAGCAAAATCAAAAAGTCGCAGTCGAAGTTAAGCCCAAAATGTAAGTAAGCCATTTTGTTTGTTTGATTTTCACTTGATTTTGACATTTTCCGTGTTTATTGCACCAAAATAACTAGATATAAATTAACTTCCAGTGTAGATTTTGGCCAGGAATTGTACTAATTATTTCACATCAATATGAAATTATGATTGACTTTTTATAGAACAAAAATGTGTTAAAAATACCACATCTGGGCCTTAAAAAAATCCTAAAATCAACTAGCTTACGGGGGCTTTGACCCCTGGACCCGAGCCGGTATCGCTCTACCCCCTCACCCTTCTCGGTCGCTTGCCCTCTCATATTGCACACGTACGTTTAAATTTCGCTGTAATGTGCCATGCTTTACGACCGTATCCTGTCATCTGCCACCTTTTCTTTAACCTCTCTCTCTCTCTCTTTCTTTCTCTCTCTCTCTCTCTCTCTCTCCCCCCTCTCTTTCTCTCATGCTCAGAATGAGACAACACGAAAATGTACATTTTACTTTTTTATTCCAAATCAAGACGAATTTCCCCCCCCCCCCCTTCCACAGGGATTCTTTATTAAATAATTTCGTTCACATTATTATGTACACAAGAATTGATTTTTACATGCAGAATTTCAAAATAATATTCTTGGCCATTCAAAATATGATAAGAAACTCATTTATAGATATCAGTTACAAGTTGAAGTTCACTTTTTTTAAAAAATATCACAGATTTAGTTGGCAAAATGATTTTAGAAGAAATTAATAATCAGAAACACTTTGCAAAAAGTAACCAGTTTTTCATAAATTTCTTTTCCTTCAGATTTGTTTTACATATATACTTTTCCATGTTATATTAACACTTATTTGGCTTATTTTAATGTCAACGTTTCTTGGAATGATTAGATATTCCCGCTCTCGTACAAATCGTCGAAGCATTGTCGTTTGTTTTTTGTTTTTTTTTTGTAGCATTGTTTTATTGTATTCATTCAGTACAAAATATATAACAAACAAACATCATTGATTTACATATCATATCAAAATATAAGGAAAATTGTACATCTCTCAAAAAAAAAAAATACATAAGATAGTTTAATACACAGTACATAATGTTTTCAAATTAATTATACTGAACGAATATTATAAATCAAAGAGTTACCTACAGACAGACAGACAGACACACCACATACGCTCACAATATTCAGACACACATACAAACCTACATATCCCCCCTCCCCCCTTCATTCCAAAGCTCAACAAATCCCCTCCTTTCCCGAGCATTCACATCTACATATTTGTTGGAATCTTAGAATCTTAGAATCTGTCGATAGCAATCATGAAAATTAGAATGGAACACCTTTTCCCACCCAATCAAGCCGCTGGCGAATTCATGATTCGGTGTTGTTGTTGTTGTTGTTGTTGTTGAGATTACTGGCGTTTCCATCGTCGTTGGATGATTTTCTCCAGGCAATGTGAGAGAGTACAGATGTCAGAGGTATTATGTAGGAGGAAGTAATGCCAGGGGTAGAACAAGTGTCAGAAGTTACAGTGGCAGCTCCTCATCCTTAATTCAGTTACGCATTATACGAAATTCAGCGGGACAACACTGTGATTATTGATTTTTTCTTCTTTCTATACTGAGGTATATCAACAAAATAATATTCTCTGATCCCATATTCGACTCAGATGAATTATCTAGGTCTAAGGTAAACAAAAACCTTGTAACAAGTTCGTTGTATAAAAGCAGAAAAAATAAGATAAACAGAATGTTGAAAGTTTGAAATAAATCGGACCAACAATAAGAAAAATTATGAATGTTTGAAATAAATCATGAGATTACGAAATAAGTGCAATCTAAAATTGCCAATCTGGTCTGTGAGTTGAGAGGTAACACGGAAAACTCTCCTGAACAAAAATGTTAATTTATGGTTCTCCCTAAACCCTTGAGGCACTAATCAACATAATAGGTCCTCTAAAAAGAAAGGCAGTTTCGAAGAATTGAAATTTGAGTCATTTTGTGTGTTTGAATAAATCAGTGGGAAAGTTGTCCGCCACTACATTAGAGAGTCATTTGAATTTATTATGAAGAGCCCACAACTTACAGTGATTGCACATTTTATTTAAAAAATCGTAACTTTCTCATTTTTAGTCCGATTTGATTCAAACTTTCACAAGTCTGCTTCTCTTATTTTCCTGTGTTCTTCTAGTACTAGTGTATTTTGTTTTCTGCCAAAGGGGAAGTCCACCTTGATATTAAGGTGGTTTTAAAGAAAACTCCGATAAAAAATAAGAAAGTTACGATATTTTTGGAAGTTGCAACCAATCAAACACAAACTGGCTTCACTATTATGTGCCAGATTTTAGTCTACTATATACTAGATCAGTGTTTCACGGCACCCTTTTAGGAGTTGGAAAGTTTCGCGTCACACCAATCCAAAATTCATCTAAGAGTTAGAGGATATGTTTTCGACCCCTCCGAATCATTTTCTCGAGAGGGCCTTGAAAGGCCTCTTGCCAAAAATATATTATCCGGATCCCTGAAGCGAGAGAGCAAAAGTATAAATTGAACTTTTATTATAATAAAATAAATAATGACAGAAATGTTATTTGGTCATCAATATACTCTAGATAACATGTAAAATTATACATTCGGTTATCTCGTCGACAGGAATTATCGTGATTGATCAATTTAATGTTCATCTCCCTATCTACTGTAGGTCTAGAGCTCTAGCTAGGCCAAATTATATTATTTCTGATCGTCCTTCGACGGTCGTAGATTATAGGGCTAAGCCAAAGATGTTTGGTTAAGCTTACCTGTTTTTTTCTTCTTTTAAATCTTTACATGGAAATGTAATATCAATATTTATCAATCTTCTTCTTCTTATCGAGTCACTACACAAGTCCCGTCCAGTGGTCCACACAGGCTTTGGCACGGTAATTCACGGCTTCCAGGTCTATTTATTAATATGAATTGTTTATAATTGTTAATACCATAATTGATATTCTTTTCCTTCTTCTGTTATTGTTCTTGTTATTGATATTATTATTTTATTTTTAATTTTTAATTATTACTTTTAGTATTACTTTTATTATTATTGTTATTATTATTATTATTATTATTATTATTATTATTATTATTATTATTATTATTATTATTATTATTATTATTATTATTATTATTATTATTATTATTATTATTATTATAATTATTATTATTATTATTATTATTATAATTATCATTATTATTATTATTATTATTATTATTATTATTATTATTATTATTATTATTATTATTATCATTCTGATGATTATTTTTTTTTCTTCATCATTATTATATTTTATTATTTTATTTTGCATTTACTTTTTTGTTTGTAGGAGCTGTAACGTTTAAGTAGGGTCCTGCCATTCCGCATATTCAACGAAGGCCTTATGATGAACTGTTGATCTTTGTATTCTTTTTTAATGCTGTTTCTTTAATTTGATACTGTTACTGGATTTTCCTATTCCTATTCGTCTGCTTTCCACTGATGATCGATTACAAATATGTTAGAGCAATTTGAAATTTGTAAATCATTATTTTTTGCTTTTACTTTTTTTTGTTGGGGGTGTTACTGTTAAGTAGGATCCTGCCGTTCCGCAGATTCAACAAAGGCCTTATGATGAACTTTTGATCTGGGTATTCTTTTAAAAAAAATGCTATTCCATTGATTTGATACTGTTACTGGATTTGTTTATTCCTATGCCTGCTTTCCACCGATGATCGATTACAAATATATTAGAGCAATTTGACATTTGTAAATCACTTAAAATTATTTATATCTGGAATGAAATAACATTAGACTATTATGAATTACTAAAATATAATCGTTTTAATATTAAATCTTAAAATTATAATCAAATAATTATAATGTTTGTATAACTTTAATTTTAAACAAACTGAAGAATACATTAACGAGAAAAGATTATTTATATTTATTATATATGAATATCATTAATTCCTCCTTCAATGACCTTAAAGAAAAACTACCCTCCCGTAATAGGGTAGGACTTTTGACCACTTTTGAAGGGGGCCTTTTTCGGTTAGCTGCCGAATTAGGTCACTATATTACACAAATGAAATGTTATGGAAGGAACTATATTCCTGCGTACTCTGAGTCTACATCTACACACCGCGAATCTCGGTAGAACATCTCCATTTTTAACTTCCGAGTTCATTCCGTGCGTGGTCAGGATTCTTTTATTCATAGCACAGCGAAATCTATTCTCGATTCTGTTTATCAGATTCTGTTTATAGACTAAAGCCAAATAACAAAAATGACGTGTTTCTCTTCCGGACTTAAAAAACAAAAAGGAGGAGGCATGCAGGGCATATTTACTATTTTCCTATTTTTTGCTATTTTTTCCAAGATGACTGCCATGCTAATTAAAGCCGACCAAGCCTATTTATTCACAGATATTGTGCTATGTGAGCCAAAGCGATTGATTTGTATCCTATCACATGCGTTTGTTTGTTGTTGTTGTTGTTGTTTTTTTTTTTTGGGGGGGGGGAGCCTTTTTATTTCTGAATTTTAAATAATTAAAATAGGAGGTGGCGGCCAAAAAGGAGGCGGGCGGGGCCGAGAAATACTTCATTTTTGTTATTTGGCCTAATACCGCCTAAGATGCAGGGCTAAGCTAAGGGAGGTGGGGGGGGGGGGGTACGGGTGAGGTGGTACGACCGACCGACCCACCCACCCCATTCTGTTTTGTAAGCAAATTTTGCAATCATGCTTTTTGCATTGGCTTTGGTTTTGTAACTAATAGACATTGAACAACAATTGATCGAAAGAGGGCGACATTTCTTATGCAATTTGGCAATTTTTACGCTTCATTCTACTATTTCTAGCTCTATCTAACTCTTACTGACTGGAAATGTTTGGGCTCGTTAGCAGACCTACAAGGAGGATCGGGCAGACGGTATGAATTTTCATTTTTATAAATATTTAGATGAAAATATGGACTTTCCAAAAACAAAGGTAGATCTAGTCTAGAGTCTAGTTGGCCCGCCCCGCAAGCGCAATGGTAAAAGTGCCCGTGTTCTATTTCGTTAGTCCCATGTGCAATGTTGTATGTTGGGACTTCGGTGAAGACTCAATTTTCATATCTTTTTGGTGTAGATCTAGATTTAGATCTACCTTTCCTAAAAACGAAGACATAATGTACACTTTCTCACAAGTTTCATGGCAACTGCCATGCTGCACAATACAACTTACAAGTGCATACCGACGCAAGATGGGGTGCGGATATGCGCGCGTGTGTGAAGTTAGCGACTGTAATCTCAGATCCTCCTTAAATTCATGTAAGTTAGATCTAGATCTACAAACTAGAATCTATACTAGAGTAATTCACATTATGATGATCATCGTCATTATGGTCACTAACTTCACACACGCTCACGGTTAAGCGTGATCAAAAACAAAAAAGATGTTTACTTGATGCAAATTAGGCTTCAACTTCAAGGTTCAAGGACGAAAGCTTTCGCACAGTTAATTGTAGATCTACCCCAAGCCCCGCGCCTGACCGTGCTGACACTAAAGACTCTTTGTAATTGAGCAAAGCTGCGCATATGAAAACGTGAATGAATGTGCACACTGAACTTTCAATTGCACTTTTCCATCAAAATACAGGAGACTATTCACATTCTTGATGACTCCTTTAAGTATAGATCTAGATCTAGATGTCTAGATTAGTTTTGGAAACGCCCCCCTCTCAAAAAATGAACAGGAAGCTCTAATTACAAATCATGTGAAAGAATATGTTTTGACTAATAATACGTGATGATACAAATTTTGCCGCGAAACCGCCAACTAATTGATAGATCTAGACCCTATATTTGGTAAATTATTATATCTATCCAGACCGGAGAGATATCGCGCACATGTCGCGTAGTCCCATATACATCTTTCTGTGTACAGAAACATTCTTTGTGGCTAAATATATTTTTTAGCTCCGACCAAATTGGTTAAGTCAACTTGGGTTACATAATTCCGTAAACAATTTGCTGTTCAGGGATACCTCATGCACAGTTGAAATTTTGTGTTAAGCTATGGCATGGTAGATTAATCTAGGTCCATGCTGTTTGAAAAACTGACCACTGATTTCTAATTATTTATGATTTTTGAACAATTCCAGGCTCTCAAAGTCAGTGCTTTTCAGCTTTTTGGTCATAATTTTTAAAAAGACAGAGCAATAACTTCCCTAATAATTTCTATGTTTTGTTTGTTCTCAGCTCTCCTACCTACAGAGGCATAACAGCACTTTGATCGTAGCAGAACACAACAATGAGAGTCTTGTACCCATCACCCTCAACGCCATCTCGGCTGCAAAGAAGGTCGGGGGAGAGATCTCCTGTCTTGTTGCTGGTACCCAGTGTGCAAAGGTAAGGGTCGTAGTAATACCCTGCTAATAGGATTTCAGTATCAAAAGGATTACTTTAAAACTGTATGCATAGCAATTTCCTGTTCATGTTGAATTTTCTAAATATTGTTGTTGCTTATCTTCTGAACTTATTTCTTGATAACAGTACTAAAGATGGCGACACTTTATTGTCTGCTTTCAGTTCCTGTACTTTTAAAGTGACTTGGTAACATTGTTGAAGGTTGATGAAAAAATTGCTTAATTTTTGTATAAAATGTTACTTACTTTATATTCCTTCTACTGTACTAACCCTTTGACATGCAAAAAATCCTGAAAAAAAATCTCAAACCACAAAGATATCTATGGTTTTCTTTGAAGGAGTCGATGTATGACACCCTCTAACAGTGATTAACAGTAAATTCTCCCAACCATTTTTGAATTTTCCCAACTGTTTTTCCATTAAAAAAAAGACATAAAACAGGCTATAAAAAATATGTCAGCTCTTAAATGTCTGGAATGGAATGTAGAGTCATTTTTATTGCTTTGTGACGATTTCCATTCACCTAAAATGTAATTAAATTGTAATAATATATTTGGGAGAATTAAGGAATCGATCAGATCAGTTTTTCCCAATTTGTACCATGAATAATGGTCCGTTTTCACTCAAATTTTCAGATTATCTTTAATTGTACATCTAGCATTGAAGTCACTACCTTAGCACCACTACCGGTATCTCTCTTTTGAACAATGTTACCAAGTCCCTTTAAGGATTAAGATGATCACAAACTCAAAATCTTAATAGAAATTTTAAATGGGCTGATCACTATTTTCAAATGAGAATGAGAGTAGATCTGTTGTGTTCAATCTTTTGTGTGAAATGGTTGTAAAAATATATATTGCATTGAGGGCCAGCTAAGAAAATGAACATATAAAATTCCCTGTAACAAGCAGACTTCAATCATTATTAATGAAAGCATTAGTGAAGCATATTGTGATTTACATACTTTTGATTTGTTTAGCTGGATATTGGTCCTGTATCCAGGTGGCAGTTTTCTTAATAAGTATCTATACTACAGTAACAATTTTTACATTATGTTTGTGCAGGTAGTGGAAGAATTATCCAAAGTTTCTGGGGTAACCCGCATCTTGGTGGCAGAGAGCGAGGAGTACAAGGGTTTTCTCCCCGAGTCTCTCACCCCACTCCTTATGGCCACCCAAACACAATTCAACTTCAGCCATATCGCAGCAGGTGCATCCAGCTTTGGGAAGAGCTTGCTGCCGCGCCTGGCTGCTAAGCTCGACGTTGCTCCCATCTCGGATATCATTGACATCAAGGCCCCTGACACATTTGTGAGGACAATATATGCAGGTAAGTTTGGGAATGATTCTAGCTTACCGGTATGTGGTTTTACCAGTAATTGTAGGAAAGATTTAAAAAGTATAGGTAAGAGGTACTCTTCACTCTCTTTCTCTTTTTTTCCTTCTTCTTCTCGTATGTCTCTCAGTATGTCTCTGTGTCTGTCTCTGTTTCTTTCAGTCTCAGTCACTTTGTCTCTAGCTGCTGCCTCGCCTGCCTGTATCTTGTCTCTCTGTCTCTGTCTCTTTCTCTCTGTCTCTCTCTTTCACTTCCTTCTAACTCTGTCGTGATAAGTCTCTTGTAACTGTTATATAGGATATAAGAACAAAAGTTGTACATTATTTCCCCCAAGGAATGATTGAGACTCTTTGTTTCTTGTATTTATCTTGTTAATACAGTGTGTATCATCTTCTTTTAGGGAAGACTATGCCAAGAACACTTTTTTCAATATCTGTTTGTATTGATGCAGGAAACGCTATAGCCACAGTGAAGTCCCTTGATGCCCTGAAGATCTTCAGTGTAAGGGGTACAGCGTTTGAACCAGCAGAAGCTACAGGAGGAGCAGGAGCATCAGAACCAGGTAGGACAGAACAAGACAGTCTAAAGAAATACATGTACTCTTAATAATGATAATAATAGTGATGATGATGATGAGGATGATGATGATGATGACGACGATGAAGGTGATGATGATGATGACGACGAGGATGATGAAGGTGATGATGATGATGATGATGAAGATGATGATGATGATGATGATGATGATGATGATGATGACGACGACGAAGGTGATGATGATGATGATGATGATGATGATGATGAAGATGATGATGATGATAAATTTGATGATAATAATGAATCTGCTGTCTATCTTGTAAAAACTTTTGAGGCACATTATGAAATCGAGGGGATTCATTTCAGAAAAAATTATAAAATAGACTACAGAATAATACAAATTCTGTTGAATTACATTCAGGTACTGTATGCTCTCAAAAACTCAGTCACACCAACTCCAGACCAACTAATTCTTTGCCATTCAGGGTAATACAATTCTTCATTCAGGCTGTTGTTGGTCTGGTGTTGGTCTCCTTGGTGTGACTGGGGTACTGGGAGAGTCTATTAACCCGATATAATGATGGATAAGCTATATCAGATTATAAAAAATGTACGTTTTCAATCATTTTTTTCTTCTTTCTTTTAAATACGTGGTATCATCTATTCTTTATTTTATTTTCATTTTTTAATGTATTTTCTATTTAAATTGAAAATTCCATTCACATATTTCTTGAATGATCAGTTATTTCATGAGGATACCAATTAATTTGTATTTTACCTGTTTATATGCTTGTGTATTTATCTATTTTGTTTTTGCTGCTGGTATATCTTATATTCTTACCAAACAGTGCCTCGTGGAAGACCATTAAATTGGTGATATGTGCCACCCTGTATAAATATCATAAATAAATAAATAAATAAATAAATAAATGTGGTATGGTCATTTTTATTTAGCACCTGCCTGTGATGTCAAGAATGACCAGTCATCCTGGCTTAGCCAGTCGTTGTCCAAGAGTGACCGACCAGAACTGACCAGTGCTGATACAGTCATCTCTGGAGGTAAGATCACTATATCACATTGGCAAGGGCAGATGGCTTCTCTTATCACAACCCTTGGTTGTCTGAAAATCTACAAAAAGAACTTGTGGGTTTGAATCTTCAATTTATCAATTTGTGAACATGAATGGAGGGCATATCAAGATAAACAATGTCGTAGAGGATTTACCTGTGTGAAAATGTAGGTTTGCTTGATGCTCTTATGTGGTTTATGTAAATATTTACAGTATTAAAAGGGATATTAAAGTTGGGACCCCAAGCCTGCTCCCATACTGCAGTGCGGATACGTCTTCCCTGTGGACATAGAGACTTTGATAAATGCACTTGAAGGGGGATGTCAATATTACCTGCAAATGTCCTCTTATTTTACGACTACTTCATCTGATATTGTGATTTAATTGGTTTTTATATCATGAACATGTGGATGGATTTGAAGATATCGCAATTTGAGTATGCTGCTAGATCATGTGATACATGTGTACACTGTTTGGTTTTTTAAGTTTCAGGAATAATGGACTTCTCGTCACCAAGAAATTAATACTTCCTTAGTCTTAGATGCACACAGGAAAATGAAAAGTTGGTGTCTAATTCTTGAATGTTCATTTTTTTCTAGGGAGAGGTATGAAGAATGGTGAGAACTTTGAGCTCCTGTACACTCTAGCCACCAAGATGAACGCAGCCGTGGGCGCCTCCCGAGCAGCCGTTGACGCTGGTTTCGTTCCCAATGACATGCAGGTTGGACAGACCGGCAAGATCGTTGCCCCAGTAAGTCTCATCCTCGTGCATTACCTGTTATGGTTAACTCTTATCGTGCCAAGAACACTGTTCTGTGCATGCGCTGGCGTGCCACGCTCTCATAATTGGGTTTCTGGTGGCTTGCCATGCACACATAAACGCTCATTCGCTCGCGTGCCACGGACACATTTTCGTGCATAGTACACACGCTAATTGAACCTACCTTAAATTAACATGGCACACAGAGGATTAGTGGCTGGCACAATAGGGATTAGCACTGTGGCACTGGGTGAATTGAATGGGGGGCAGCTTAAGAGTTAATAACTAGAGTTAAAGGGATAATTGAGTTCTGTTGCAGAGGGCGCTGTGAGATAATGAAAAACTGAGTGTCAAATTTGAAAGAACATACAATTTAAATGACAAAATCATCTTTGTTTGATCAAAATCGGTTGAGAGACGGCTGAAATATCCATAAATATAACAATTTCTTATACTTGTGTACCACCACAAATATTAGATCATTTGAAAAAGCCGTTGAAAAAACGAAATAGCGCCTTTTACGTTGTATTTCAGCCAATGCTGATGTTGGCTTTTTTGTTGGCATTTTCGTGTTGGTTATATTACGTTTAACTAAATAATTAATTAACGGTCACATTGAAAGTGGAGCTGAATTGGTATGATCGTATTGGCTAAATTTCGACATTGTGGGGTCTAAAATTACCTTCATAGCCATTTTAGGTTCTAAAAGGGCACTAGAAATGTGATAGATAAGAATAAGACCAATAACCATGCACTTTGAAGGCATTTGTGGTCTGAAAACAGAACTCAACTATCCCTTTAACTGATTTAATGAAACAGGTTTGGAATGTTAAGAGCCATGCTTTGCATCCATTATTACTTAGAGAGATGGGTGTGGGAGGAATGAAGGGGGCATATGCAGTGATGAGTTTAGTGGTGTCCGAGTAGAAAAAGATCTGTAGAGTCCACTTCTGGAAAAAAATGTTGCTAATAGTCTTCTACAGCAATTGAGCACTGAAGCTGGAATGTTAGGTGTATCCCAATTCATTCTGGAAATAAACTTTTATGATGGTTATGATGATTGCTCCGATGAGTTCTTGGTTCCGTTTTCTGAAATGACCAGCACAGACAATAAATGAAGGGTAATCCAATGTCTTTCCCAACACAATATTTCAAAATGTACATGTGAAACTGTTCATTAATATGAATGGTCATAACAAGATGCATATTGCCTTCTTTGCTTGCTTTCGTTTTCTGTAGCAATTGTACATAGCCGTTGGTATCTCAGGTGCAATCCAGCATTTAGCTGGTATGAAGGATAGTAAGACCATTGTCGCTATCAACAAGGATCCCGACGCACCCATCTTCCAGGTCGCTGACCTTGGACTTGTTGCTGATCTTTTCAAGGTAAGATGGTTGGCAGGGAGATGAGAGTTAAAGTTGCTCATGCGTGGGTATATAGAGGGCAGCACACGGACGTACGCATGGGAGCATACTACCTGTTGGCCCAGTGTTATGTAGTGATCGCCAAGTTACCTACTTCACGGATGACTATATACCCACACATGAGCATCTTTAAAAGATGTGACACAAAGCCTTTGTCATGTTTTTTAATGGCAACTCCAACACTGAAATACATTTTCTGAAAAAATAATTTTGTGTTCAGGTATTCTGTAAATGCAGGAGAAAAGCATTTGGAGGAAATTTCTGTTTTTAACTCTTCAAAGAGACACCCATTCAGCTTGAAACATTTTAATTTGGAGCATCAAACACTTAAGGCTGCATTGTTGTGCCATTCAAATGCCTTCTTTTTCATTAGGAAATGTTGACTCGTAGAAATAGGATAGCTGTGAGCTACATTTATGTCAGCATCTTGGCATTGCCTTTGTTGTTAATTTGTTCTATTTTAAATCCTATTGTGATCACATTGTGTAGTTGAATCTACATGCTAAATCAATTATAAATCATTTTTGTTTGTTATTGTTTTGGCAGGCTGTTCCAGAAATGACCGAGATGCTGGACAAGTAGAGACGAACTTTACCAAGAAGAGCCAGTGCCATTGGCAAAAATTTCCAAAATTCCCTGTGCACTACTGGGGATGTATCCCACTAAGTGCCCATAGTGTATTAATAACTTGAATACGATCTAAACGGTGTTGCACCAATATCTAATGCTGTGGAAAATTATTCTTGCTTCGGGCAATGCTGATGATCTACATTATTCATTACACGTCAAGCAGAGTTAGAGTGAAAATAGTTTAACATCTAAATTTGGTAATTTTTTAAGTTTGTGAAAAACCGATTTGCCCAATTTCTTGAGAATTTGAGAATTTAAAGCTTACATCTAAAAGTATTCAATAAATGTCCCAATTCAACCAGTCCATCTTTCATTCTTTAGTTACAAAAAACAAAAACATCCTTTTACAAGGGGTATGAATTACTTAGTAACTGTACCTCTTGGTCTATTAAGGGACTAGTGTACATTTGTACATAATACAACTGTAAAGTGCTTAGAGACATCGTCCAATGCATTAAGCGATATACAAAAGCGGAGTATTATTATAATTACAAGGAGATATACGACTGCTGATGTTTTGGTACTCATGCCAAAGAGCGATAAGCAAACCTCGTCACTTGGCCCCTTCCGGTCTTTCTCTTTCCTGGAGAACTTATTTGCAGATGTATGAAGTATCATATTATATAACAAGGACATTTGTGTGAATGACGTTGTTTTGCAATAATAATAATAATAGTGGGTTCTTGTATAGCGCTCATGTCAGTCAGATTTGACCCTCCTGGCGCTCCCGATTATTACCCTGGCTTTAGCACGGCTGCCATACGGCGCTCTAACATTTCAAGGAATTAATTCCTGCCAGGTACCCATAGCAAAGCACGAGTTGGACGCTTATTGACTCGGTGTTTGTCTTTTGCCAGCTGGTACTCACAAAATTTATTCAAGTTTTATGAACTCTGTATTTTGGTATTTGATTGAACACCCTTATGGCTCTAAGTTCTCAACAGACTAATATACATTTATCTATCAAAATCCTTCCCTGTCCAAACTATTGAACAAAGCTCACTTATATAAGAAAAGATACTACCGGTTTATGTCATCATTATTATCCTGCTGTGGAATGTATTGATTGTTAAAATGAAATATGTGGTCTGTAAAAGGTCCTGTTTGAGAAAAAGAAGTAAAACAAAAAATTAAATGATGGACCATTATGCATGTATAAATAAATTATCTGTGATTGTATTTTGCACATATGAATGTTACATTTGAGGTGAGATGAAGGACGATGTATAGCAATATGTTGACAAAGAGATGAATAAAATGTGATATTTTACCTCAACAATAATGTCTTTGCAATTTTATTTGATTGATACTGATTGATGGTAAACATCTCGACTTGAAATACGGTAAACAAAAAGTCTGTCTGCAAGACCGCTGTTAGAGCTATGGATTGTCCTGGGGTGTTTCACAAAGGCTAAGATCAACTTTAAGTTGAACTTCACTATGGCAGGCCTTTCATGCCACTGGTTGCTCTCTTCATTGATCTCTCAATAATGATCTTTAGATAATATTTTTTGCTTCAATAATGAATTATCAATAAAATCAATATAAATTCTGTAGATCTGTGACCATGATAAGTACGTCCCTTGAGAGACCAATACCTGTAAACAGTGAGAGCAAACAGTGGCATAAATGGCCTGCCATATTTAAGTCCAACTTAAAATCCATCTTGGTCTTTGTGAAACGCTCCCCAGGTCATTAACAGCCTTCTTGCATGCAGCTAATAAAGTAAACAATTACAAATTCATTATTGTTTATATACATGAACATTTTATTTCTGCTATGACAGGAACAATCCACATTTTTTATGAGTTTGATTTTGAAGTAGGGGGTTTAGGATAAAAATAAATGACAGAAAATACATGTATGAAGAAGAAGATAAACATGACAAGAAGTAGACTAAAAATGTCAAAGCCAGGGAGAGTAAAACGCAATGAACTCATGCCTGTTATTTCACAAACAAGGAGGAGACTTGACTTCTATACGTACACTCCTCTCTAATTCTAACACATTTTTTACATATCACTTTTGAGATAAAACTAACCACTATAATTTAGAAGAGAAATGTCTCTCTTTACTGATTAAATGAGGAATAACTGCTTTCTTGATTCAAAATTTCAGTTTAGAAATAAAAATATTGAACATTCAACCATGTAAATACATGTATGGTGAGAACTGTCACTTGGAAGTTGTACATTCAAGCACTTGTGACCTGGAAAGGAAAATCCCAAAATTCATATTATGAGCTCCACAATTAAACAATTTTGACTCGATAGGTAAGAAGATCCTCTGGAGGCAAATTAGACATCAATCGGGTTTTGGGCTCTGTGTCTATCAATCATATAATAATAATAACGAGATATTTGTATATCGCAAATTGCAAATAACAATTTGCATCATGAATCTTATTCAGCCTGATTTAATTTCCTGTACTATGTAATGCTTAATTAGAATTAAACACAACCAGGTTGTCCTAAAATGTTATTCTGTTAAATACTTCTACCCAAAATTATATTGATATTAAAACTAAAATAAATACCAACTTTGCCACATGCCAATGTTGTAAATGTAAAGCATGACCATCTAGCATTTGTCAAGTTTTTCAATGTTTACAATTACAAGCATCTATGTCTCAATTGTAAATTGTACATACCGGTAGACTGGGTTAAGTAACAGCCCTGCATGAATAATCATTCTGTAATGAAATACTTTTCTGAAAAAAGTTAATAACAGGATTAATCATTATCCATGTCCTTCCATTCATAAAATTGATTTACATATTCATGATTTAAATTTCCCTGAAACTAAGGCACATTAACACAAAAAACGTTTTATTTTACATGCTCCAAGCTGCCATTCCCACATACACAGGCAGCAAAGTAGTTGAATAATTCAGTGATGATTCGCTTTCCTGTAAATGTCAATTCAAATAGAGTAAATTTGATTTTAATTGACAAAAATATAACAACTCCCTGCTATGTCTGTTTTATTAACCTTTTAATAGTTTCCTTTGTAATCAAGGACTTCGTGCATTACCAGACATTCTTAAATATACCAATCACAAACAACTATTTTATTTTGTATGTTATGAGTTCCATTCTGCAATGCTATATTCCAAATATGAGCTTCAAATATTAAATCTAAAAGAGATTTCGCAAGTTCAAATACACCCTCAATTAAAAAGTGATTTGTAAATAAGACTACTTAACGCACCTGCATGGACTCGCATAAATTTGGGCCCGCACAGGCCCTTGTTCACTGATTTATTAAAAAAAATATTTTCATCATGCTACTCCTTATCCTTTTGCCCATAGAAAGTTTGGTAAAGTTTTGAGCTTGTTTTAGACATTTTTGCTGTACACAAAATAAGTTTTTAGCCGATTGGTACACTGTAAACTTAGTAACTTACAACCATCTAGATGGTACACTGTAACGTTAGACGAATAAGATTAGGCTTCCTAGCTTTTCCAACATTTTATTTCCTGAAGCATCAACATTTGGCAGAAATATATTACCAGCAAACATTTATTCAAGAGCAATCCCAATACTTCATTCACTTCCTAGATTCTGATTACAGTGCCCTAATCGTTTGGAAATGCTGAAGAAATGCCCCATAATACACAATCAGCACACTGAGAATGTGAAATACATACAACTGGACAAAAACAGCTTCAGGACTTACACAAAAGGTGCAAATTGCACAATATAACCAAAGTCACTATAAGCATAAAATATTGTAAAATACAATAGCAAGAAAATACCATGATCATCATTACTGAAAAAAATTAATTTCATTAAGTTTGAATTAAAAAATGAGATTAGAAAACAAGTACAATCAAATTTCAATATTACTGTTCACATGTATTTTGAATTTTTCAATACCTTTCCTTGTAAACTACGTATACTTCTATTATAATACACAATGAAAATTTCATCCACTTAATCTTGCGATGCCACATTGCAAGTAACTAATGAATGGCTCTTTTGCACACGCACATTTTGATTTCACAATAAAATCATTACTGAATTGAGGCAGGATATTTAATCGCCTGGTAAGTAGCAAATACAAAGAGCTTCCATATTGCAACCTTTGACAAAAGGGTCTAAAACACAAGACTCATTGAATATTTTTTTTAAACTACCGGGTATTGGAGGTTGCGAAGGCATGCCTATGTCACACACGGACACAGTGTATCTTGCTGAATTTTCTGGATAAGGTTTTCTGGATATGAAGGTTTTTTAATTGCATTAAACTGCAATCTCAGTCAGAAATGTCGGCATGCTGAAAAGGACTACATTGCAAGAGCATAAGACACCAGTATTTTTCTATCAGACAAAAAACAAAGTATTCAATTAGTCTTAAAGTTTACTTTAAAAGGTTTTGATATTGATGTTCATGAAAGTAATTTGGAGCATTACAACAACATTGCCAGAAAAGAATTAAATGGAGGATCTGCTAGGAATTTGGAGAAAATGTATTTCCTCACAGCTCACTGATGTTTCTCTCTGTGAATCTTCCTCGCTGTGAATCTTCAATAAAATGGGTCCAATTGCCTGCATCTCACCTTCAGATTTCAGTGTAGTGGCGATCAGTGTGGGAATAATTTCTTTTTGGGGGTACAGTGGAACCTCAGTATAAAGAGCTCTAGTATAACAAGATTCCTGATATAACAAGGTAACTTCCTTGGTCCCAAGGACCTCGTTATAACGAGTGTCCACTGTATTCAGTTATTCACGGAGAGGCATGGAGAGTGAAGATTAGTTTGAACGGCCAAAGTCTCTTGTGATTGGTGCGTTATAGCATTACCCATGATGCATCCTTGTTCCTGCTCGTATCGTAGCACAGCTTTCCCTTTGCAAGTGAGTGGCATCGCAGAGATATCCGACTGATGTAAACATCCAGGGAAGTTGTCATTTCTTACCTTTTGCTTTAGCTGTGAGAAAAACAGAATTTGGGGAAAAATTTGCTGTTATTGCTGAGATCTAGGACTAAGATTATCTGCTGAGAGCCAGAAGGGCATTCACTCATATTGTTCCTATTTTCATGAAGTGACGGTAGTGAGGTAAATCTGCACGCAATTTGTATGCGATTTTCAGTCACTACCGTCACTTCGTGAAAATAAGGACGATATGTTCTAACACAGAAATGATATCCTTCTGGCTCTCAAGGGACAGCATCTACCAACTTTGAATAAAAATAATACGGACTACCGTCTCTAAGTGTTTTACAGATATTATTACCCCGGTCATCGGATTCATTCAGGCACAATGTGCACCATCTCCACTACCTGGGGAGTATTCCTACCATATGGTCACCTTGAGGGCATAGGCAATTACTAACAACAACATATTTGTATGTCATATGCAGGGCTGCACACTAACTTTTTCTGGAAAGGGATCTAAAGTGAACTTTTGACAGTCTCTATGCATGAGCCCTGTGTAAAACCCTTTTTTCTCCCCCTTTTTTTTGGGGGGGGGGGGGGGACTTCAAGATAAACTTGAGTTCTGGTAAAAAAAGAAGAAAATTCATTCTCACAGAATCAAACAAATCTTACACTGAATGTTCAAGATTGCAAATAAATGTGAAGTGCCAAACAGTTTTTGAAGAAAATGAATACTGGCTGAGTAATGAGCATAGAAAGATAAGGAAATCAAGGTATAGTAGCCCCGACACCATTTGTGTAGTACCATTTACATATTTCTGTGTACAGTGCTTGTTACTTTACCAAGACTGGGCCACATTTATTATGATTTTCATGACTCCAGAACCTTGCAGTACACGCCAATACTTATATGCTACATGATCAACTTTTTCTGATCCATTCCACACCTTTTCTTTCACAATGCAATCGCATTACCAGAACTCACCTTTATCTTTAAATTTTGAGTACCCATGTGTCCAGGGCACCTGTTAGTGTTGAGCCCATTGTATGATAGAGAAATAGAGTGAATTACTGTCCCATGTAAAATGGGTACAAGGGAAGACTATTATATCTTACATTTTGCTTCTAGATCTTTTTTCCTCTGTGCTTCTTCTCTCTGTTTCCTGATGATAGCTAGCCTGGCTAGATCTGCCCTTGCTTCATCCGTCTTACCCGCCTGGTGGGCCTTCATGTAACGGTCCTTAGCTTGTTGCTTCTCTATCTCTTCCCTGCAAAAAGGACAAACAAGTGGAAATTCAAGTCAGTTGCACAAGCAGCATTATTTGCCTGACATAGGACTGTATTAGCAACTGGTGCTGTCTTCGATGCGGCCTGCATGTGTGAAAATTGTATTTTAAAAAAGTTATCAACACATGATCAATGCACACATTGCGTTGAATTACTGGTTTCTGGCTAATTGCCTTCAAAGAATTATTTAACACAGGCTAAATCAAACGCAATTCTCGCTATTCTCAATACCTCCCCCTAATGCCCGGATGTTAATTTCATGCCCCCATTACAAACGCACTCTGGGATAGCTTTGTGACTTGCATCGCTTCCGGTCTATTTTTTGCGGCTGTACTGTGCTGTCCAGTCTCGGCCGCCAGTAGTCACCTAGCTGTATACGCATTGCAGTTATTGTACAGTGGTACCTTTCACTAGGCCTTTGGTCTTTTGAAAGTATGTCGTAAGCAATTTTCTAAATAATCAAAAAAACATTCATAGATATCCCTGAATGTCAGATGTGACTTGGGAAAATATCTCAATGAATCCTAAAAATGCATGCACCATATACTTGGGCTCGAAATTACATCCAAGAGGCGCACATCCCGGCATTCAAGGGTGTTAGTAATAGTGAGAATTGAAATGACGCCTTTTATCATCAAGTGATGTGCATCAGTTTCAATACAATATCTACAGTTCATTTATAGTTTGGGTAACTAAGGCTTCACAAAATTTCAAAAGATTTCATCCCCTTTAGTTTATAAATAGCATGATACCATTATCCCCTATTGTACAGCACATTCTCTGGGGACAATCTCATCTACTAGAATGACTCCAAAGCATATTGGTGGGCTACAGATCATTTAAAATCAATTTAACTTACTTCCATAACAAGATCAAGGATCACATTCCTAAACTAGTTGAACACCTCAATTCAATCATGGACTATTTAAAGACCGTCACCACTACTGGGCCAAAAGGGATTAGACCACACAGAGAGCCATCAGGGTCACTGTGACAGGTAGCTATCTCATTAACTCAGCTCTCATTTAACATAAGAAAAAGAGGATCATGGGGGACCAACAGGCACCGATTGGGGAAGTTTTCTATATAGAGGGAGCAAGTAGCTACAAGTATGGCAGTGTGCCTTTAATACTATTAGTAACCTAAATCCTAACATAAACCTTAACCAACACCCTATCGCAACTCTACTCCTAGCATATTATGGATGGAATAAAGGCCAGAGAAAATGGCACTAGACTAGTGATGCATATGTAGCTGGGGTGCCTCAACATTTGTTCCTGCAACCATTGTTCTGGGGTTTAGTTTGGTTAGTGTAGGAATTTGAGGCGGAGTAATTGTCGCAGGAGCAAGCGTCATACAACCGTCCCAGAGCACATGTTGGATCACTCAATTCTCACCTCTCTCTTCTGGAGATTTGAGTTGGTGCCTGTTCGACATCTACATTGACAGCTTTCTGCATCTTCTGAACTCTCCTGTTAGGATTCTCGATCTCTATCAGACCTTCCACTCCTTTCGCTTTCTGTAGGAAATCAACAATGATTAAGTTTGCACTGTAGAGTGAGTAGCAATCATCTCTATATGTTTGAGAATAAACTGTCTATCTATTGTTTGATATACATAAATTAAAACCAAAGGGTCCATAGTGGTATTTATATCACACACTGTTCTTATCTATTAGTAAAATACATGTGGGGGTATAATAGATCATTGTATATTTATTTATCGTAATGTATTGTCAAATATGGAATAAATTTCTTTAAAAGTTTTCATAGATATTTGTTGTTGTTGCTAGCAACCGCACAAGGTGCTTGGGAGTCTCAATCTGATTTCTTAGCAGAACGTATGTAACCAGAGTGGAACATGGTCTTGCAACATCCTATGGGGTGGTTTGTGAGGATCACAGCAATAGACCAGAGTCCTACTACACAACGGTTTGCAATCGATTGCAACTGACAATGGCTTATCAAGATGATCGTGGCATGCAACATATCGGTCAAAAGGTTGACCATTAATCTATCACAATCATCGTGACTTTGTAGTGGAGGCATAAAAACTTGCTTCTTTGATATGTTTTCAGTGGTTGTTAGCATTGTGAATTGTAAAGCTGTTCTGAAATGCGCTAGGCCTATAGAAGAACGTAGAAAGATGCTGTAAACTTACCCCCTCATCCTCGCTACTCTCCTCTTCAGAGTCAGATGGAGGCATCTCTCCTGCTCGAGCTTGTGGATGAGAAAAACTGTCTTCATCACCTCCTTCTCCTTTTGGCTGAAGTGATACACACAACAACAAAAACAGAAAGAGAAAGAGAAAAAGGTAAGTTGTGTCTCTTCTTGTTAAAAAAGCAAATGCACCCAGAAGACGTAACTACTTTCTGCATTCTTTAATCCAGAAAATATTGGTTACAATTAAAAGAAATTACTTAAAGTTGATATTCATTGATTTTAAAAACTAAATTTATTTTCATTATTGCAAAGTTGAAACTTTGATTCGACAAGGTTATCAAAATTCAATGCTTGGAAACATTCGAAGTAATGACTATTATAAATTACAAAACGCTTAAATACAGCCCCGGCATAGCACCGGAAGAGCTCTCCGAACGCTGCTGAGATGTGTGAGATCACAGTATGGACATGACTTGCACAAGCAGACGATGCCCCATGACATCTCACACATTTTCAGTGCCTGTGTTTTCATCTTTTCTTGAGTTCTTTCTCTTACTTCACTACCGTTAGGCTAAATGTATAATCTATTGCCTCACTCTTAACCCCGTGCATGGTTTTATTATGATGACAAATGCAGTGATACAAAAATAAAGGAATCCGTCGCTTGTAAACAAAATAAGACGCCATTGTATATTCATCTGCACACACCGCGGTATGTTCGGCGTTTCAAGAGGGACAAATACCGTCCTTAATATCATTCCAGGAGGTTTTCAATTTGAAAGTCTGGTTTCTTTGATTGATAATTACCCCCTATCCTGTGTATTTACAAGCAAAAGATTTTAGTTATCAGAATCGGGTCATATCCCCTTTTGAATGGTTTGACATGCCATTACATTTATATACACTAAACTCATTATAATTTGACAAAAAATAGCTTTGCAATTATGTTCATTCTCTATGGGATGTTGTCTGCTTGGGCAGTGTTGGTCCATATAGTGACGTCATTAAAACATCATTATTTTTCCGGCGAATCTCTCGTATATCCCAGCTGCTATGGAGGTGATTTTATTTGTATTTTTTATAAATCACCCGATATGTAGTTGACCTATAACTTGTACGATGGCCATCTGTTAGATTACCAGTTTCTAGTCATACATTAGTTGACATATTTGTGATTTTCTTTGAATTTCACCTTTAAAGGGACCATAAGAGGTTGCCATGTACAGTATGTGCATTTCTAGTTGCTGATTCTGTCAAAATGGCATAGAGGCCTCCTTATTTTCAATTGGAAGTCAAGATGTACAGTCACAAACCTCTCAATTTGTGTGAAATTTTCTTGCTCACCAAGTACTATTAGCATGCTACAAAGTCTTCCTAATGAGTAGAAAGTTGGCAACTAGCAACTTGATGGTGATATGGGCCTAAGCTGGCTTAACTACAGAAACACAGTGCAAAACCAGAGCAGTTTTACAATATACGTCCACACGAGTCAAGACAATGACACAACTTGAAATTTCAAGTGTATACTTCTAATTTTCATTTTCCTCACAAGTTACATCTCTCCAATGGTATCACATTTTCAAGGTCTGACAAATTTAAAAGACTTTGTCAGTGTAACTTCTTTTTTTTTTAGGGGGGGGGGGGGGGCTGGGGGCTTAAGGCTCCCTAACCAGGTAATAACAATATCAACCAAAGCTCCCTGATTTTAGAATGTAAGACACAAAGAGTTTTTCAATTGTGAGACATGCAATCTTGACTTAAACACCTCATCTAGATCTCAGTAAGGCTTTTATCAATGAGGGCACTGCACTGGCAAGCCATGTTCACAGTTTGCAGGTGAGAGCTAGACAGCGGGAAAAATAAGAAATTTCCATGAATCTACCTGTCCTCTGCCTTCCTCCTCTGCCTTCATCTGAGCGTCCACTTCTTCAGGCGATGTGAATTTACGAGCACGACCCTTGTGCTGGGGTTTCGTCCTTACACCTCCGCCTCCACCTGCATGAATGTAAAGATATTTTTAGAATTCTGAGATGACGCCCCTTTGGAAATATGGACAAAAACCTGTTCTTTCATATGACACCTCATTTATTGAGTATCACCTTCAGGAGGATCACAAGCAATAGCCAATAAAGGTTTGAATCTCGATTTGGTAATAAAAACATTGACCACTTTTGCATGATCGCACGCAGACTGCATAGGGATGCATGCAATCTCTATAGGAATGATTTTAGCACACAAAATCAATTGCACGATCAGACACCCGAATATAATTAGAGTAAAGGAGCCGGTTTTCGGCCACTTAAGACAAAATCCTATTTTTTGGACCCTTTACTTCCTATTTATTATCATTTTTTGTTCAAATCATGAAGCAAATATTATTATTATTTAAACAAAACAAGAATCCCAGAAAAAAATCACGAATTGCCATGACAATATTCATTTCAATTTTCACTGTTTCGGAGTCAGTTTTCGGCATAGCGTACCAGTTTTCGGCCGCATGTAGAAAGTCAATAGGAAGCGCGCGGACGCACCGTGCGTTTCCGCGCTGATTTATAGCACTAGCGGGCGGAGCAGAAATCTCATGCCGGAGCTCCCCGGAGCTCGCCAGGCCGAAAACTAGTACTGCGGTGATCGGATATTGAAATCTGAATTAGACAGAGATATCGTGTGTGCGTTGCGGTGTGCGGCTGCATTGATTTAATACATACGATGAGATACTTTTGAGCTTGCGACTAGCACAAAATCGGGCTCTAAATCTGAAAAATACTTGAAATAAAGCTCATTTTATGGTATCCATATTTCTTACAGACACGCGTAAGATACTCGATTTTTCAGATTCGGGTAGCGGGACCGCCGATTACATCGCTAAAATGTGATATTTTAGGATTTTTTGATTTGATTCGGTTTATTGAAATAAAAGAACATGCAGCTGGGAAGCTGAAATAATTCAATTTACAAAGTCAATATACAACACAATAAACGAACAAAATATGAATGACTAGAACGTACGACTATAAATTATGCAAAATGAGAATCAAATATTACATCAAAATCTAAATATATTACAAACATTAAATCAAAATCTAAATATATTACGAATATTACATCAAACTCGAGATATATTACAAATATTACGTTAAAATTCAAATATAATACAAATATTAAAAACATTAAAAACCTTAAAAACCTTCTGTGTCATCAAAAAAAAAGGGAGAGAGAGAGAGAGAAAGAGAAAGAGAAAAACGGAACTAGAAATGTATTGTGTGAAGAAAGAAGAAAGAGGGAGAAGGTGATAATAGCTGAGGAAAGGGGTTAAGAAAAGAGAAAGAAAAAAGAAAAAGATGAGGACCTAAGAGAAGAGGAAGGAGAAGGGGTTTCACACAAAGCATGAGTAACATGATAAAGCACGTAATGTAACAACCTAAAAGTACAAGGATAATATTATCAAAAAGATATTGCACGAGGTAAAGTAATATGGGTATATTACATTGAAGAACAATAAAATCAAAGTTATTAGAGGAAAGGTGCAATATGTCAACAACATGTTAAAGAGAATAATTATACAAGTAAAGAATTGAGAATACACAATAAGGCAATACACTTGCATGTAAACGGATAGTGATACACAGTAAAACTATTTGCTTATAAGGGGGAAGAAAGAAGAAAGAAAGAAAGACACAAAAAAAAGGGAAAAAAGAAAATTGTGATGACCCTAATGACATTTCAAGGAATAGAGAAATCATGCATCTTATAAACGATAGAGAGGAAACAGATACGAATAGAAGAAGAGAGGGGAAGAGGGAAGACAAGAAAAAAGGGAGTATAGAAAAGTGAAAAATAAGATCAAAGAACAGGGAATATCCATGATAAATAAATTTGCAAATTAAAGTGAACTGCATTATAGATAATGATTGAAGATCATTGCATTTTTACGTGTAATCTCAACAAAGTACCACAGCTATAAACAGTGAGAGAGATAAATAGATAAATAAATAGTTGATATAGCTGCATTACAATGACGAATTCAAAACTATTGGCATTCAAGGAAAAGAAAAATCATGCATCTTATAAACAATAGAGAGGAAACAGATACGAATAGAAGAAGAGAGGGGGAGAGGGAAGACAAGAATAAAGGTAGTAAAGATAGTGTAGAATAAGATCAAAGAACAAGGAATATCCATGATACAGGGAATATCCATGATAAATAGGTTTGCATATTAAAATGAACTGCATTATAGATGATCATTGAAGATCATTGCATATTACGTGAAATCTCACAAAAGTAACACAGCTATGAACAGTGAGAAAGATAAATAGATAAATAAATAAGTTGATATACTGCATTACAATGAGGAATTCAAAAGGACTGACAGAGAAGGGATAGTTGATAGCCTATATCTCTGCGTTCTACAAAATGGAATGTCAAGACTTTGAGAGTTCCGAAGTTGTAATCGCGTACGGGACTGTGATTGTCTAGTAGGGGGCAAAAAGTTACGATAACGATCAGACTGGAGCAAACCTTCACCAAAACGAAGGAGAAGCTCATTCCTTCTTAGTTCCAAGGAAGTGAGTCCATACAGGATGAGTTGCTTACTATACGAGAGAACATTGGGGAAAGCTATGCAGCGGAGGACACGTTTTTGAACCCGCTCAAGTTCATCAACCTGAGCCTTGGTGAGACTTGATCCCCAGACAGGTGATCCAAACTCCAACAATGGACGAATATAGGACTTATAGATGATCAATAAATCCTCTACATTAGCACCATTCTTTTTCAAGACGCTTAGGATGTACAATCTACGTGCAGCACGAGAGACCATGGTCTGGACTTGACGATCCCATTTAAGATTCGCTTGTATCACGATTCCAAGAAGAACTTGTGAGTCGACCCATTCTAAGTGACTTCCGTTGATGGTAAACGGTACTTTCGGTGGAGGATTTCTCAAGAAACTAAATCGCATGACTTTGCATTTCTCTGGTTTGGGCTTCATATCATTCACATTGCACCATTCACTCAGCGCATCGATGTGGGTTTGCAGGGAACTTTCTTGTGATTTATGAACAACTTCCAACATACTGAGGTCATCCACATACTTCCACCTATCCTCAGTAGTAAGGGCCACATCGTTCACCATAACGAGGAAAATGATCGGACCCAATTTGGTCCCTTGGGGGACGCCGCAAGTGAGGTTCAACGATGTTGAGGTTTTACTCTGGTACCTCACTGTTTGAGAGCGATCGCTGAGAAAGCTGCACACAGTTGGTAGGATAGAGGCGTCTACACCTATTCCAATAAGCTTTTCAATTGCAATTCTGTGATTAACTAGATCAAAAGCCTTCATGAAGTCTACTGTGCAAAGGTTTACATGACATCCCTGTTTGTCAAGATTACTTTGGATGACGTCTAACATACTTATCAAATAATGATTAACAGCGCTACCTTTAATATTTCCGAATTTAGAAGGATCTATGTGGGATTTCAAATCTGACATTATCCAGTCCGCCAAAAAACTCTCAAAGACTCTAGCAAAAACAGAAGTGATGGATATCGGACGGAGTTGAGAAAATTCAGATGCTCGAGGAACCTTCGGGATTGCACATACTGAGGCATTCTTCCATTTTCGGGGAAAGCATCCGGAGCGTAGACAATGGTTGAAGATCTTGGTAAGGGGCGCGGAAAGTTCTAAGGCAAAAGTTCTAAGGATATATTTTTCATTGCAAATGTGGTTCTTCAGTGACACTGGCATGGTATGGTATGTGGGTGCTAGTGTAGTTCCGTATCCATTTTTTTTAGCAGTTTAAAAATACATTCTTAGCAAAGGAATTTTAGCCCAATTTTTGACTAATTTTAATCATAATCATATATTGCATTTTCGACCTGAATTTGGATCACATTCGACATCGGTAAACGTTCGTTTAAGGCTTCGATGTCAACGTCGTCGCTTAGTACCGTCTACGACTACGCTGTAGTCCTGCACCTCAAACTGAAGCTATCAGTCCAAAATTATGCAGACTTCTCGTATGCGCGATACCATAAACCATACAAGAAGTCTGCATAATTGTGTACTGATACTGATAGCTTCAGTTTGAGGAACAGGACTGCAGCGTAGAGACAGTACTGAGCGACGACGTCGACATCGAAGCCCTAAACGAAAGTTTCCCGATGTCGGATGTGATCCAAATTCAGGTGGAAAATGCAATATATGATTATGATTAAAATTAGTCAAAAATTGGGCTAAATTTCATTTGCCAAGAATGGATATTAAACTGCTAAAAAAAATGGATACGTAACTACACTAGCGCCTGGTATGTGTGGGATATGTGTTATGCTATTATGCGATGTATTTTAGAGGGATTTTACCTTGCATCCAACCAATCGGCCGAAAACTGGAGCTGGCCGATTACCGGCTCCTTTACTCTATACATTTTGAAAAAAACCTGACCAAAAAGTACAAAACGCTTTCAAATTAGATCTAGGCATCATGACTTATTGATGAAAAAGGGTAAATAACATGTCTTTTTTACAATTAAATACATTATTAAAAAAAGAAAATATATAATAATCGCTTTGGGGAACTATTGTGTGTATTGTAATTGTAAAACGAAATCGACAAATAATGACAGCTGCTAAAACTCAATGAACATTTACACTACACGAATCGTCACTAGTGGGACAACAGTAACAAAAATCATGCAAGGGGCACGTGTTAAACATGAAATTAACACATTTCGCTCCATACTTACCTCTTTTCGGCATCTTGATAGTTAAATATAAATATTCGCTTCTGAAATGAACAGATAGAACTTCGATGTTCTTGAATTCTGACTGTAAATTTGTGAGTCTCCAAATGGCTGGTCAACTTCTGATCAAGTCCGCGCCTTGAATGATAATTGAGAGCGAGTCATGCGCATATGCAGCGCGCGCGCGCGTACGGTCAGTGATGCGAACTTCCCGTATTACGTTTCGAAATATATTGAGACGAAATTGCAAAATATGTCTGAATCACGAAATGTTTTTAGACAATATTTCTCTCTTCCGTTTATGCCGGAAGTGCTTTCTCCTCGTCAAACCCGAACTTGATTCAGATGATCTCAATCTAGATGACTTCGGTGATATAGGTCTAGTTATTATATTGGGCCTATACAAGGCTATAGGCTAGTCCTAGAACTATAATTTTGTTGGCGTGGAATTTTGTAAAAATCTAAAATACTAGCATTTCTAGTATATGGCTATAGCATGTCTTCTCTTTTTTTTTCTTCAACTCCACCTCCCCCCCCCCCCCCCCCCCCTCTCTCTCTCTATCCTACAATCCTTACAAGTGGAAATGGGGGAATTTCCCTTGGATCTAAGGAGACAAATTGTGTCAAGTAAATATAGACAAAGTATCGAAAGATCCCCAAACCACCCATTATCACAAAACATAGGGCCATGTTGGCAAAAGGGAAAAGACTTTCTTAGTAAACCTTTCGGGTATAGAACCCAGAGTAAAATAAAAAACTTCATGACAGAAACTGCCGTACCATCCCCATTTCCGCCATGGCTTTTTGAACCCCCACTGGTTTCGACCGAGTTGAGCTCTCGGATTTCAAAAGCCGACCATCCGAATGAACTACAGCAACAAAGCTTAAAATTGATTAATACAAAATGGTCGAACCAGTTGCATATATATACAGATGGATCTAAGTTTCCGGAGAAGGGCCAATGCTCGGCTGCTTTCTATATCCCACACTTTTCTGTACACCAATGTAAAAGATTAGCGAATTTTACCTCATCGTATAGAGCCGAGTTGGCTGCAATTGTTCTTGCCCTTCAATGGATCGAAGAAACAAACATCTATACAGGTGCAGTCATTTTTAGCGACTGCTTAAGTGCCCTCACAGCCTTGAAACATTTTAGTGACGAATCCTTTGTCACAGAAATATTTATAATAACGACCCGATTGAAATATAGAGGGATCGAAATCGCTTTGGAATGGATTCCAGGCCACTGTGGGATAGTGGGAAATGAAAAGGCAGACTTCTACGCAAAAAAAGCCCTAACTCAGGAAATTGAAATGCATAATAAATTGACTTTATTTGAAAAGACAAGTTTAATTTTGTACAGTTCAAAGTTACTTTGGCAAGAAAGGTGGAATGATACCCAATCGGCATTAAAAATCCTTCAGCCAAATGTTATCTCACAATATTCTTGTAAATTGGGAAGAAAAACTGAAACTATTCTTAGGCGACTACGCCTGGGAGTGTCTGGACTCAACCAAGACCTCTTGCGTTTGGGCATCCACTCCACAGGTTTCTGTGACAGCTGTCCAACATTAGAAACGGTCAGACATTTTTTGATAGAATCTCCAAAGTATATAATAGAAAGGGCCATGTTAATGTCAGAAGTTAATATTTCCAAGGAAGAGGACATTATGATATGTTTACGAAACAGTGACTCTCATGTACAAATGGCAATTTCTCGCTTCGTTTTTAGAACGAAGCGATTATGTAAAAAGTAAAATCAAAAAGAGATGAAAAACAGAAACCGCAATCAATTTGAGCTGAATAGAAGAGAAAATAGGTATTTTGTGTATAACCTTATGCCTACACCTGTATTAGTGTTTTATTTGAAGTTTTGATCGTATAGACCTATATATCTTATTTAGGCCTCTTTTAATTACAAAAAAATAAATAATGATTGAAACAATTTATCATTATTTATTTGACCAATCGAAAAACATATCTTAATACATACACACAACTTTAGGGAAGTGGAGAGGAGAGAGAGAGAGAAGGATACATGAAATCTGCTGGCCACGTTTAAAAAAAAAAAAAAAAAGCAATTAAAACTTGCTATATCATTACTCGAAAGCATGTCACCCCCCAATGATTATAGTAGTTAAAAGTCATGCGCTATATAAATAATCTCATGAACTAACTCATATAAACTAATAAAGCCCACAAGTGTTTTGCTTATGCAGTTGTCTTTCTCCTAATAAATAAATAAACCCTCTAAACATACAGGTACACGACGCCCCCTTGTCTATGCCAGAGTGACCTAGGTTGAGTTTATCAACCGAGAAGCGTACGGCGTAACATAACTCGCTGGGCTGGTAAGAAGGCATCATAGAAAGGACAGGGCCAGCGTGAGTTGGAACTGTGTGCGGATCGTGGTTTAATTTGAAATAATTGTTTGTTTTTATTTTTTGTAGACTATGACTAATATTATATTAAAATGAGATTGGAAAAAGAAAGAAAGAAATAATAATTTTACCAAGACATTAAAAGAAAGAGATGCGATGAAATTGGCAACAATAGTCAAATTTGACTAATAGCCATTATAATACCAAACGAACAACAAAATCTCTCTCTCTCTCTCTCTCTCGATATACATCCCATTCTCAATATTTCTCTTTCTCCCAACCATTTTATACCTGTTTCTGTCTGTCTGTCAGCTCCTGAGCTGTTGTTTCTCAGATGCCCCCGCCCTCTCTCTCCCCCTCTCTCTCTATATATATCTCTCCCTCTCTCTCGATACTCAATATTTCTTTCTCCCAACCATTCTATCTCTGTTTCTGTCTGTCTGTCAGTTTCTGAGCTGTTGTTTCTCAGCCCCCCCCCCTCTCTCTCTCTCTCTCTCTCTCTCTCTCTCTCTCTCTCTCTCTCTATATATATATCTCCCTCTCTCTCGATATACATATACATTCCATTCTCAATATTTCTTTCTCCCAACCATTCTATCTCTGTTTCGGTCTGTCTGTCAGTTTCTGAGCTGTCGTTTCTCAGATGCCCCCCCCCCCCCACTCTCTCTTTTTAAAATTGTATATACTACTCATGTAAAGAATAAAGAGGCTGCATGGCGGCTAGAGTGTAATAGTTGGCATGAACGTAATAGTAGATTTATATAGATGATCATCATAAACTTATTCTTTTTTTTTGAGGGGGGGGGGGGGGGTTGGGGGGAGGGGGTATTTTTTACCCTTCTTTTCGGGCCTCCTTTTTTTTCATTCTATCTACTATTGATATCTTTATCATTATTACATTCTTTACATATTTTGAACAATTAACTTTCATTATACATGTATAACATTATTTATAATTATGCCGGTAAAATGTTATGTCAATTTCACTTATTGTTAATAATTCATTTTACTGTACAATTGTTGTTATAATTATGATACATGTTTCAGTTCAGGTAAATGATTTTGTCATATCAATATCTTTGTTTGTCATATTAATGTAGGCCTACTTTGATTATTCTGAATATTTTATTTTGGTTATGGAAGTCAATGAAACTCAATGAAATGTACAACAAAAGTAACAAAATCACCCCTAAAAAGCAACAACAACAACACATTAACAAACTGGACACAAGATAAATCAATCTTCTTTCTTCATAAATTACAATCAAAATTTTAATCAAGGTCAACACATGAATCAGTTTGCATAACATACAAATGTGACATTATTTATGTGACATTATTTGTCTAAAATGCACTTACAAATCACTTTATATATAAACAAGATTCCAAATACTTTTGAAAAATCAACCGAAAGCAATTTCACTTGACAAAAATGATGATGTAAAATACATGTTACAGAGCTTGGACAATATTTATGTGGAATATACAATAGGTAATTAGGTATTGATAATTGCCCATAAGTCCATACCTCAATATCTTTGCAATCATGTTATAGGAAGTGTTATATAAAACAATGATCCTCTAACCTTTACAAGGTGACTTTGACATCCAATAGAACACTTGCAAATCAGAACTTACTCAATCAAAAGTGATTAAATTCTGGATAAAACTAATTCTCTAAATCATTTCCATGATCTTTGTACATTGTAATTAAAAGAAACAGGTCATCAACTAAAACTATACAATGAATGAACCATATTTTTCTTTTTTTATCAATAACAAATCATCAGTCTCTTCAATAGTAGGCAAGTATAATATATATCTTTTTTAATGTGACAACAAACAAACAAATAATACATTACTATTTTTGTTTAAATATATAAAGAAGTTTGATCGAAAGGCTTGTTTACGAAAAAAATACTTTAACAATTTCGGGGGCTACTTTTCAAGCTTGCTTGCATGAACATAACACTCTTGAATTTGTTATGCATCGAACTCTATGCAAATTTTTTGGGGCTCTTTTGGGCGTTTCAGGGGCCAATTCGCCCCGAGCCCCTGTGTCTTTTTTTTCACTGCATATATATGACACGGTAAACTGCTGTAGCCTATTCTGTATGTTTAAATGAATGGCAAGTGGGGATAAAAAAGTAAATGCATTCAATAAAGGTCTTAAAGGTAAAGACCAGTTATGGTCATGCGATTGCATTGTGAGAGAAACGTTGTGGAATCGATCGGAAAAGATTGATCATCTAACATCTAGCATCTGCAAGGTTCTGGAATCATCAAAATGATAAGAAATTTGGCCCATTCTTCGTAAAGTTACAAGTACTATACACAGAAAGATGTATATGGGACTACCCTATATCTCTCACAGTCCATGAGAGAAACAAATTTACCAAATATATGAATTAGAAGGCAGTTTCCCGGCAAATTTTTTATCATCATGTATTAGTCAAAACATAATCTTTCACATGATTGGTAATGAGAGCTTCCATTTCATTTTTTGAAATTGGGGCGTTTCCAATACTGGTCTTTACCTTTAAGGCTTGTTCAGATATGGCGCAGTGCACCGTCGCAAAAAAAGCCGCAACGATTTTTGTTGTTGGCGGTAAATGATTGGCGACTACACACAACGAAGGACCTGCCAACAAAGGACTTATTCACTTAGCTCTGTGTTATAAGATACAGAAATGTGAAGCCTAGCTTATTACACTTTATGTCTTCATATCAATACCGGCACAGTTTCACAGAGACATATCTGAACAAGCC